GGGAGATGCTATGTATGTAACCAAGTTAGACAGAAATACATGCACACTAGAGGTCCAGTTCTGTCATGCTGGAAAAACAAGATTTTGGTCCATTTTTTAGCATTAAAATGGTCACCAGTCAGTCGTCTTGGGTTAGATCACAAAGCTAAGTGGTGTGCACCTGTAAATTATGATGTTATGTCTTTTTACCAAGTTTATTTTAAATTTGTGCCCAAACTACAAAATTAAACAAGGCATATAAATACAAGCAGCCTCTCGGCTGAGATAGCTTCGCTGTTAGCAATGCACATTTCAATTAAAGAACAGAAAGTATCATTAAAAAATGAACAATATGTATAGTATCAAAACAATCAGACTTGCAGTTTTCAACAAGATGTGGAAAATATCACTTTTTGCCAAAAATTACAAAAATATTCATCAAAATTAGAGAATTAAAGATATCATCATAAAATGAACAAATCTGAGTTAGAACCACATGTAGTACCTATATATGTAATATCAAAGCAATTGGACTTGAGGTTTTCAACAAGAAGTCAAAAATATCACTTTTTACCAAAAATTACAAAAATATTCACCAAAATTAGAGAATTGAAGATATCATTATGAAATGAACAAATCTGAGAGAGGTCTACCTAAGGTACATATACACCAAGTATCAAAGAATTCAGGTTTGTAGTTTTCAAGAAGAAGTCGAAAAAGTAAAACATTGACACGGACGACGGACAATCACTCATATGATAAGCCCCACTCGACAAAGTCGACGGCGGAGCTAAAAAAAAAGATGCACTCACCAAGTCATCAATCTGGGAAGCAATGTGTTGTATTTTCCAACCATTAGCTTTTTGTACTATGCCCTTCTGAGAAGCTATGTCTTGGATTGTTGACTTTTTATCTAAAACAAGGGTTGTGGAAATGAAAGGTTATAGCTGAATAATACTCAACCTAGGATTGATTGAAAGATGCATGCTGAAACACTGCAGTTAAAACAAGTCATTGGAGAGCAGTGCCTGATTTCTTTAATAGGCAACCAAACAAACCATGATAGTCTGTTAAATTGTACTACAGTATAAACACTTGAGTAGGCGACACTCAAATTTAGGCATCAGGAAAGAGTGAAAAGCCTTAATTTGGTTCTAAAATAGGCGTCACAAAATGTTAAAAAATTACAGTCAATCAAAAAAAAACTGATGGGACAACAAAAAAATTACTTAGTATGAAACACGAATGCATTGCTTAATAGCCAATGATCATGGTCAGTAGCACAATCCAGTCATGCTGAGTTTCACAAGTGAATTACTTACTTGTTTTTGAAGTGTTGCAATTGTTGATCATTACTCAGTAGTGATTATAATAACGTACAAAAAATTTCATCGTAAGCCAAATATTTTGGTCACATGTAAACGTTCGATGTGATATGATATTCACCATGTTTTTTCCATACACGAGTTGACCTTAAACTGCGTTCTTTGACCTGATTGG